CTTTGATCCTCGTCGGGACTACCTTCTTTTGGGCTTGGAGGATCGTCTCCTTAAGGAGCGACCACTCCCCTTGAACACCCGGCTCTCCTCCCCTCTGAGACTTCAGCGCTTCTCCAACTATCCTCCTTAGCTCGTTGAAGTTCACCCTCCTAAAATCTAGGGCCACAGCCTGACTGCTTGCTTTTGCCACCTTGCGCTGAATGGTGAATTCCAGCAGGCAGTGGTGACTGTCACCCAGTGTGAAGGCAGTGTGTTACCTGGTTTTAAAAGGCTGTAAGGTTTGTCAGGCAGGATCTACCTGTGATGAACCTGTGCTGCTTACATTTCAGCATCATTTTTCCTGCTGGGCCTTCACAAATGCACTCTTTACTGATTTTTTTCCAGTGTTTTCTGGTAACTGACTGGCCTAAAGTTACCTGGCTCATCCCTTCTTCCCTTCTTAAAAATGGGCACCACGTTGGCCTTTTCCAGTCCTCAGGGACCTGGCCGGAGCACCATGAGTGCTCAAACAGCCATGCCAGTGGCTCAGCCACCGGCCAATGCCTTGAACCCTAACCCAAAGCACTTCAGAGTGCTTCTCCCCTGACTCTTTACTAATTAGTGAGGATGTGTATTCCTCCTTGATATAGAGTGCCACTCCCCCCCCTCTCTTTCCTATCCTGTCCCTCCTGTACAGCCTATAGCCCTTGACATTCACCGCCCAATCATGCTTGGAGTCCCACCATGTTTCCAGGGGTAAACCAGGTCAGGAACCAGAGTCAAGAGTGTAGAGCCAAAATCAGAAGCTAAAAAGGTGTGGAACCAAAGTCAGAAGTAAGTTGTTGAACTCTGCAGAAGTAAGAAGATCATCTGTCTAGCACACTGCTCCTCTCAGAGGGTTGCCTGTAGACATTCAGGATGTCTGCTCTGATGCACTATAATTACAACACATTGGAGCAGACTCGATTACAGTCCACTCCAGCAGCCTTGGCATCTCATGTATTCAGTGTCCCTGCACTTCAAAATGGCAGCGGGAGTGCTTTAACTAAAGCTCATCAAACAAGCTTTAGTTTAAAGCACCCCCACTGCCATTTTGAAGTGCAGGATGCTGAATACATGAGATGCTGTGGGTGCTTTAATTACAGCGGCTCCCAAGAGCTGCTCTAATTAAAGCCTGCTTCCCCTGCCTCCCCATCCCCAGAGCACGTGTAAAGATGCCCAAAGATTCTGATATCTTGACCTCATTAATGTCTCCTTATCTGAAAATGAGTGTCCATTAGATGCAGGCAGCTCCTAAACAAAGGTACTACTTTTGCTACCCCAACACCCCTATGACAAAAAAAGATAACCAGAACAGGGCTGTCCAACTTGTGGTCCATGAGCTGTATGTAGCTCATGAGGAGTTAACTCATGGCCTGTGGGCAACTACCTGGTCTCTGCTCCTCTGCATTATTTCCCTGTTGCTGCTGCCAGAGCCTTTGGGATCCTACTCCCTCTTCCAGCTTCCACTTCCTGCCCTCACTTCTGGGGTGGGCCAATGCAAACCATGGAGCCTGGGGGTCCAGGGAGCCCCACATGGTGGGGGAGCCTACATGGTGAGGAAGTATATGGGTGGAAGGATGGTGGCAGTGTTTTGAGTGGGGGGAGGAATCCACATGGTCCCCAGTCTGTGCAGAATGCAACTCCCATACACTCAAAAGTTGGCCAGCCCTGGTCATGTTGATTTGTCCTCCATCTATCTCTTTCAGTCTTTCTGCCTTTACATTTCAAACAGTCTGACATTTTTTTCCAGTTTCATGGTTACAACATGGGGGAGGATCTCATCCAAGTCTCTGGAAACACTCGATACCTTTACCCTGCAGATGGAGGACAGATTCAAGTAGAGAAGATAGAGTTTATAAAAGGTGATTGTTAATATTCCATCTTAATTCATTTCTGATTGGTGGGATGGATTTAAATTAAATATATGCATGAAATAGGACACCTTTTAAGAACTACTGTTTAGGAAGTTTAATATCTAAGGGCCTTGTTACACATTACACTGGGCGCATCTACACATGCTATTAATGCATAGTAAATTGCCCCCGGGAAAAGAGCCTACACAGGCGCTAGGTTGGGAGCAAATTAATTCCCGACCAGAACAACTGAGACAGGGATGTCCTACCCCTTCTCTTCTCTGCCCCATTGCAGCAGCCAGGGGTAGCTCCAGACTCCCCCTGAGTGCCAACCTGGAGGAATAAGGGGTTGGGGGCTGGTGGACTGGTGTATCTCAGCCAGTTGGGGATCAGAACCAATCCCCGCATGGCTGGGAGAAGTGTCCCTGCCTGGTGGGGCAACCATGTGGGGATTTTGAGGATCGCAATGCCCACATAGCCAGGAGAAGCATCCCTACCTGGCTGGCAGGATTGCTGCCTGGGTCCCAATTGACATTTGGCTGCTAGGCAGCATCCCCACCAGGTGGAAATATTTCTCCTTGCCGTGTGGGGATCGGGACCCTCCCAATCCCCACATGGCTGTCCCTTCCAGGTGGGAACACCTTTCCCTGCCACATGGGGATCAGGTCCTGACCCAATCCCTACCTGATTGGAATGCAGCTATCCCAGCTGCCAGGACAGGTCTCCTGGCCGTGTGGTGATCAGGATGGTCCAATTCCCATATGGTGGGGAGACAGCTGCCCCTGCAGCCTGCACATCTCCTACCACATAGGGCTTAATTAGGCAGCAGTGGGCCCCCTGCTGCCTGGGCTGACCGGGTGCCAATTGCTCCTGGCCAGCATTTACACGTATGCTACTGCACAGTAGGTAATGTGTAGCTAATCTACTTGTATTTTCAGGTAGTAGATAAATGTGTATCAGCCTGTTTTACTGAACAGTAGCCTAGCACATGGTTAAATATGACACTTTACTGCACAGTAGATTAGTCTGCTGAGCAGAAAAGCATCTTGTGTATACACACCCATTGTGAGCTGCTCAAATGTTGATCCGTGTTAGTGCTAGCTCAAGATTGGAGCAGTCACTGGTTCAGGCTAGCAGGGGCCTGAAGGGCTGAAAGGTAAGAATCCACCCCTCCCATTTCAGGCTTCCCCCTGCCACCCAAGCCTCCCCCAGTTCCCTCCAAATCTTGGGGCTCCCCTCTGCCCCTCAGGGTCCCCCCACCCTTCCTTGTAGCTGTCCTTTCTGTCTGTCTCAGGGGAGCAAACATTGACAGGTTAACCTGTCTGCCCATTCCCCCCTCCCTCACTGTTGCTTTTGTTAACCCTTCCCTGTTTGCTTCCCCAGGACAGAGAATGCAGGCAGCCACAAGTAAGTTGGGGGAAGGGAGGCAGAAAACAGGGATCTGGCATACTGGGAGAATGGAGTAATGGGCCGGATCCAGGTCCATGGGGGAGGGGGAAGCAGCAGGGGGGTGGGGTTTACACTAACATATAGCCTAGAGTCACTACACATTAGTGTAACACAAGCTGGGTAACACGGATCAGAGATAAACCTAGGCTGGGGCAGTATAACTTTAAGCCACCTAAAGAGTGCTTAAAACTAGTTTAATGTGTTAATGTATAGACAATGCAGGGGTTAAGAGCTCCAAGACCTGCCTAAAATTAACATGTAACAAGGCTCTAATACGTTCTTTTGATGCCATTATTCTTCTTCAGTATTGAAATTCTAAAGATATGTTTACATATGGGTAAGTTCCTTTGCTTATCTATATAATAAAGATTTATTGAAAAGGAAACTGAAAGAATAGTTTCTAATCCCATTGTAACTCTCTGTACTCATAATAGTGATACTTTGCTGGCATATTTTAATAATTGGCAGAGAACCAAAGAATCAGAAAGTTAGACATGAAGACTGATCCTACCTAGTCCTTCCAGTGGTAACCATTAAGCTCTTCCTTACATTGCATGCTGTGGTGATTTGTTCAGTCTAGATTTCAATGATCCTTGCAATGACCTTACCCAATTTCTCTTGGAACATTATTTTGCAGTCTGCTAGATCATAATATCAGGAAGTTTTGCCAAATATTTAATAAACATTTTTACATTGTTAATTTTGTCTTATTGTTGCTAATAAGTCATTTGGCCATCATCAACAATCTCTAATCTTATCTTTCCATATCTGTAATCATGATGGTGAGTTACTGTGTTTACTCGAATATAAGATGACCCTGATCATAAGATGACCCCCCCAGTAATTAGATTCAATTTATGGAAAATTTATAAATTTGATATAATTTTCCAGGTATAGAATCTATTTATTGGAGGTTTGTCTTTAAATTTCTCCCTTCCCACTGCTACAGATGGAAAAATAAATCTGGTGGGGTTGTCTAGCCCTTTTGCCCTCTGTCCCTCCCCTCCAACTTTTTCCCCCTCCAGCCCCTTCCCCTACTCCTTACTGTCAGACCCTACCCTCCCTGTGCACATGGAAGTGAGGCAAAAAATTGAAAATACTGATTTGGAAATAAACATAATTGTAGCAATTTTCCTATAGTACCTATAGACTTAGTTCATCCAAAATTGATGCATTTTACCTTTTTTGAAACTCTTGCAAGCTTTAGCACAGGTACTCTATAAACACACCTTACGTAACACTTTAGCACCTCCTTGTATATAGTACAAACTTTTCTTCTTTTAAGGAAAATTTTTCGTGTCCCAAATCAAATCAGCCAAATCAATTCCCATTCAAGAACCATATGTGGCCCTACTACTAGCAAGCATCCTCCACCCCCACCTGGGGCTTCATATTCTTCCAAATCCTTTGGCAGGTATCCTACGTGCAGGCCCAAACCGGAGGCTTGGGGTTCAGATGCCCCCAAGTTTTGCTGGCCCTCAGCCATGTGGCCACAACAGCAAGCTAGGAAGGAGTCTCCTATGCCCATAAAGTTAGCATATAGCTAAGATCTTCCCACTGGAAGTGGAAGTGAGAAGTTAACTATCCCTTACATCAGTCAAGGTACTACCCCCGGCCAAGAAAGTGGTTTTCCTCTGCAATTAGGAAAATCACCGTAGTGGTCATGGTGCTTCTTCTGCCAGCACACCTGGATAATGCAACCCCTCTGAATATACAAACTATGTATGATATTAATCCAAAGCCAAAAGACTCATGACTTACTATAGTTCATTGGGCTGGGCCCCACCAGGGTCAGCAGCATTTCAAGCCATGGTGATCCCACATCTCAGCACTGCTCAGTATGCTGTGTACTGTAGATACCTCCTACAAAGGAGCCATGTGCTAATTAGCACCCCCACTCCCTCCCCGCTCGTGACTGGAACTGGGTGTTCTTGTCAAGAGTCCTGGGATGCTCCAAAAAATTTCTATGCAGATGAAGTGCAGGGCAACCTGATCTGCCTTCACCTCATGGAGAGCAGAGCCACACTAAACCATATGTGATAGGCTGGGAGAGGGGCCAACAGAAGCATTCTGGGTAAACTGTTTGGAGCCCTGACATTTAAGGTTGGTGAAGAAAGAGGGATCACTGGAAATGGGAAAGAAAGGCATAGCTCAGCTGTGGGAGTGAAGAGAAAGTCAAAATGACTAAAAATCCAGTGAGGGCTGAGGCGGGGCTGCACTTAACAGGCACTACTATACATCTTGTTCAGATGGGTTTCACTAACCTATACTTGTGGTAGGTTCCTATCAGCATGTTTGCTCAACATGAGCCGTGTACTTTATAGTTGTGCTCAGTGGGCGTGTCTACATGAGCCACCAACTGCACAGCTGTTACTGCACAGTCATTTAATACTTGCATAACCAAGTACTAAATGACTGTGCAACTAGTTACTGTACAATAGTATCCTGGCACAGTTGCCTAGTGGCACTTATTGCACAATAGCTCATTACTACTGCACAATAGGTCTTTTTTACTGTGCAGTAGGATCACATCACATCACAGTTTGTGCCCAGGGATGCTACTGCACAGTAGTAATGAGCTACTGAGCAGTAAGTATCTTGTGTAGATGTGGCCAGTATTGACTGCATTTAATTAACTTCATAGTAGGTTTCCATTATAAAGCACATGCTGCTTTCAGCATCAGTTCAAAGATGGACAATGTATTTAATGAGGTTTCCTTGTATATGGATTCAAGGAATGAGGGGCTTTTCCCACCACGCTGATTGGGGGCTGGGGGAATCTTGTCTGTATTCAAGTAAATATGGTAAATACAAACCATGATTGTATTCCACTGTTTTCTAGGGCGAACTTTGGTCAAGATGAAGGTGGCAAAGGACAGCCACAGCTTCTTCATTCATATCACAGACCCCAAGAAAACCCAGATAGAAAGGGAAGCACAGGAAATGAGTAATCCTTTGGGAGGACAGCAAAATGAGCCAGGTCAGTGGGTCACTAGGACTGCTGTAAAGAATTATGAGTCAGAGCTATTCCAGTAACTGGGGCAAGCCATAACAAGGGGCAGGTTATGAAAGAAATTATTTCAGTTCTTACCTAGCACACCAGGCAACATACGGTGATAGGCTCTGTGTAAAAAACTTGTGGTTGCTTATATATAAATATCATTATTTTTGACAGAATTTCTATATTTTGGGATAGAAGATAGAACCAAAGAATTATGGAACCACTCTATATTGGGTTCAAGAAGTCTCTTCACCAATTATCATGTCTTTTATCTATCCCAGCCCCTTACAAGCAATGATGCATATACTAGTCATTAGGCTTCAGTTTAGTTGGGTCTTAAATATATATTTTTCTTTTTAACCTCAAACCTTTTATGTATTTTTTAAGGAAAATCAGTAAATGAAAAGAAAACCGTGAGCAGGTTTGGATCTTTTTCAGCCACCTTGGAAAATGGAATCCAGCTGTCCTTGAGCTACTATGGACCTACAGGAAAGGCAGCAGGTAAAGCAAGCAAACAGAAGAGGTATTTGAGGCCCATAATGGAAATTCTTCTTTCTTTCACATGCCTATTAACTCAACAGTGTGCTGCATCCAGCCCTGACATTCTCAACAGCTGTCACTACATGGTTTGGAATTTTTCAACAGGAGTTGAACTGAGTTTACTTTATCAAATGTATTTTGTTAATCATATTCCAAAATGGAGAGAGGTTACTGTGCCTTCTATAGTTGCTGTGAAAACAGCCCAGTGCATTAAGAAAATCATTAGCATTGTCATTAACTAGTCCACCAAAACCAGCCAATTAGTATGAGCAAAAGAAAATGTGATTTTCTGAGGTATTTTCAAGGTTTTCTGATTAATAATTTTTAAAGTTAGATAGGTGATTATGGTAATTCTTGTTTTTTCAGGACATTGGTCTTTAGATTACAGCTGTGCAGACATAATGAGGGATTTCTCTCAGACTTCCAATAAACACTCATCAACTAGAAGCAATTGCTTCACAAAACCACAGAGTATATAATGTGTATTTTGACCAAGATCTAACCAAAGCTCTTTGCTTCATTACATTTCAGAAGCCACTGAACACATCATACACATAAAAGTGAAATTCTCCTCTGATCAGAAAATATTCCCAAAGTTTTTCATCCCTTAAAATAAGCTTGCAATTGAATGCTTCTTTGTGTGGCTTATGGCAAAATATTTGTCTGACTTTACATCCAGTTTTAATTATTCAGAGATATTTTTAACATAAATTACTAAAAATTGTCTTGTGCCAGAATAGCATCCATACTTTAGTGGACTGTAAGGACATGATGCTATATGAAAGAGAAATGTTTTATTAAACCTTTAGATGCCAGTTCTGATGCAGTCTTTGTCAGAGAACTTATGTAAGTTCCTTACTCTAGCTTGAGTATAGCCTTCACATTGGGCGCATCTACACAAGATGCTTTAAAGCACATAAGACTAATCTAATGCTCATTAAAACATCACCAAAAAACCAAGCACTAGGCTTCTGCACGTGAGGAAAACCTCCAGACTGTGATGGATCTCTTCACAGTAGTCTACCAAACTTTTGGCCTCTCTCTCAACCCTGAGAAAACATTAAGTGCTCTGTCAGCCTGTTCCAGGCCATGAATTTAACTCCTCTCCTTAAATTACCATTGAGGGAAAGACCCTGGGTAATTGAGCATTTCCCTTACCTTGGTAGTCACCTCTCTCAGAGACTGAATATTGATAAGGAGATCTCGCATAGGATGTGGTGCACAAGTGCCTCCTTTGGAAAAGTGTTTTGGCATATTTTTATTGATTATGATTTCCAGAAGGACACCAAGATCAAGATCTACAATGCAGTTATCACCCCCACTCTTCTGAATGGCTATCAAGTGTGGGCGATGCCTGCCATTGTCATCTCAGAACCTGGAGATGCCTCCAGAAAATCCTGTGCATCAAAATGGGACGGTTGCTTTACAAATGCCAGCATCATTGCTGAAGCCAATACTACTTGAGTTGGTGATTCTGAAACATCAGCTTCACTGGACTGGACATTATGTACAGATGCCGGATTCTCAACTTTCAAAACAAGTGCTCTACTCCCTGCTTAGTCATAGCCTGAGATCTCACAGCACCCAAAGGACATGCTACAAGGATTCATTGAAGGCATAGCTCAAGAAAACAGACACCAACATCAACATCTGGGAGGAGCTGGCTGCTGACTGACTCCGGGGTGCCACAACCTCAACCAAGTGGCAGCCCATTTCAAGGTAAATTGTCTTGCCCTCAAAGCAGAGAAGAGAGGGTGGAGGAAGGTAAAGGAAAGAAATCCTGTCCTACAGTCTACTTTCCCCTGTGGAAAGACATGAAACTTCTTTAGATGACTCCATGGCTCAAAGATTGGACCTTTACGTCACCTAAAGACCTATGAATGGACCTGGTAGAAATCATTCTCGAATCATGGAATTACAAATGATGAGATTTCAGGTTATTAGTTTGGGTTTTCATCTGTTGTCTTTGTTTTGATGAATTGGAATGTAACATGGTGATTGTGGGATAGGGATGGAGGAAAAGGCATAGCTAGAGCATCAATGAAGATGACCAGTCCAATGTGGTTGAAACAGCCCTTTTGGCTGAGGAAAGACTCAGGGAATTGGACCTGTTCAGCATGAGTAAGAGAAGGATGCAAGTACATCAGGAGAGAACACAAAGATCTGGGGGAGCGACTCTTCAGGAGGGCACCTCAAGGAAGGACAAGGACAAACAGACAAACTTATAGAGGGTAAATTCAGGCTAAACATAAGGAAGAACTTTTTCTCTGTAAGGGTCACTAGAATCTGGAACACACTCCCACCAGTGGTGGTGCAGTCACCATAATTGGAGGTGTTCAAGGAGAGGCTGAGCAGGCACCTTGCTAAGCTTGTCTAAGCCCAATAACTTCCTGTCCACAGCAGGGGACTGGACTTGATGATCCTACGGGTCCCTTCCGGTTCTACAATTCTATGATTTTATTATTCTATTCTATGATTCTATGAAACTGAGTATATATTGATAAGTGCACATACCATCTTCCTGAACATCCAAAAGCTCTCAGATGCTGCTTGGTAACTGGATTTTAATATCTGTGCCTCAATGTCCTTCTTGATAAAAATATGGGTATGAAGGGTCTTTATACAATCCATTCCCTGACAGTTGCTAAGAGGTTAAAGGAGAGAGTAGATATCTCCCAATCGCCCTAGCTGCAGCTGATTTGAGAACCAAAAATAGTTTGGGATAAAAGATTGCACAGCACGCAGAGTGGTGTGGGTGTTTCTCTGGGAGAGACTCTTTAGCGGTGAATTGGCAGGGAGCCCTCTAAAGAGCAAGGCCACAAACCTCCCAAGGTTGAGAGAGAGGGAAAGTAGTTTCTGGAAATCACTGGGACTTGGTTTAGAGCATTATGTAACACAATCCAGTCCATGGATGACTCCTTGTTTTTTAATTTGCCATTCAAGGTTGTTCTTAAAGTTTTATTGTCAAAAATGGGTATTCTGAGGTCAGTGGTGGAACGTCCAGGGAGGTTAAAGTGTTCTGCCACAGGTTTTTGTGTCTTTCTGGAATTGATGTCATATTGATGTTCATTCACTCTTACATGTAGGGATCACCCTGTCTGCCCGATGTAGACAACAGAGAGGCACTGTAAGCAAATGGTATCATATGACATTGGTTCAGGAGCAGGTGAATAAAACCGCAGATGTTATAGGCCGTGTTATTTGGTCCAGTAATGTTGTGGTCTGTGTTGATGAGGAGGTACAGCTGCATCTAGATCTGGAGCAAAGTCTGATCCCTTTGTGAAAATAGGCTGTTCCTGTCTCCGTTCAATGATCCGCTCCCGCACTGCCTTGATGCATGCACCTTGGTCTTGGACACCATGTAACTTGTGTAAACCCCAGGGAGGTCCTCTGTCACTTCCGGAGAGACCCTGAAACTCACCTGCCATGACCTCGGATAGATCTTCAGTGGAGGGGGCTCCCATTGAAGATACCTCCAGAGTTGTCACATCCCTCGGCAGATGTACATGGGGCTCCACCTCCCCTACACCCTGTCCATACACCAACCCTTGAGACGAGCCTCAAGATCTTTATATGGCTTGCCCTCTGATGATGTCCGCCTCGGATCCCTATGCTCTCTTCTCTTTGGACAATCTTCCTAGGCTCTGATTGGACCCGGAGGGGGTCTTTGGATGTTATGCCTCTGAAGGCATCCCTTCTGATACCCTGATGGTCCACCATTCACCACTGCATCTTCATGCCATCTGTGTTTCCTGGTAGGAACCTCCGGCACAAGACCCAGCAAAAGAACAATGACCGAGACTATGCTAACTAGGGAAAAGAAAAAGAACAAAGAAAAAGACAAGGGAGCTGGACCGGCATGCTGGGAACACACACAAAAACAAAGAAGAAGGAAGGGAGTCTGAAGGGAAAAGAAAAAGAAAAGAGGAGGGGAAACCATTGGGCCCAGCAGCCCTCCTTTCCCCTTAAACCAAGAGCCCTAGATAAACACATCTCCTGGACTTGGCTCCGCGCTTCTAGCCCAGCCAGGGTTTTCTTCAGCTCTTCCCTGAGCCGCCTCTAGCCCAGCATCCCGGTGCTGGCTGCTGCCGGTGCACCCCCCCCCTCCCTCCCGCTGCCACTTGCCTCTGCATCGGCTCATCCGATTCCCGCTAGTGCTGGGTGCACCCGGTGCAGGGAACTCCTGCAGCCTCTTCAGCTCCCAGCATTCCCACTCTCTCATCCTCGGAGCTGGCTTTTGTCTTCGCCAGGTGGCATCTCCTGCTGA